TCTTGAAAATAAAGACTTTCAGTCAAGACTTCTTCCTCACAAAACACAGAACACTGCCTAGTGTTGCCTTCTTGAACTACCCAGAGAAGGGACTCAGGTTCAATCATTACCAAGGGACTCCATGGTGACTTCCAAGGTCCAAGGTCAATCCAGGAAGTTAACCCGCACATCAGGGTCAGGACCAGGTCTGACACGGGTAACCAGAGCCCAGTGATCACCAGGAACGCCCATAGTGACAAGGTAGATCTGAGGCTAGGTGAGAAGTCAGTCTGCAGGTCCAGATCAGCTGTGTCCCTGGCCAAGCTCAGGTATTCCTGCAGCACAGCTTGTGCAAGGCCTGAGCTTCAGATGGCTTTTGGGGCAACTGACAGGGTAAGAGGAGGATCCAGGTAAGGCTGGTGAGGGCCAGTAAGGCCTATTAATGTTTTCAGGGCCCTGACAACACGATCCTGACGTGGATCCAGTTCTTTTTCTGGTGAGAGCCTTTCCTGCTTGTTTGTACAACAGACCCATTGCGCTGCTTCTGAGCCAGCTGTACTGTACACTGTACAGGAAAACAGGAAGCCTCTAAGACTCATCTCACCCTTCAAGGTGCTCTGCTGCTGCTGTGACTCCTGACCCACAGCACGCTCCAGCAGTCAATACATCTAGTCAGGTCAGTGGGTACACGGAGAAGGATGACAGGATAGAGATTGTGAGAAAGCTGGTGCCCAGGCAGCACTTTGCTTCTGACCCTCTACTACAGGTACTGTTAAGGCAGCTGGAAGGAAAAAGAAAGGGGGGGAGGACAGGGGAGGAAGATAATTTTTTTTCATCCAGAATATGTTGGGAATTCAATATCCTACCTGCAAAATCATGTCTCCATCCTTCAGGAAGAAGAACTTATTTGTACAAGGCTGTGGAACCTGGGGAAGGACCGCATCTACAGAGGGGACTCTCTTAGTTTATAGAAGAAAAATAACTTAAGAGCAATTGAAGGCAGAGGTGTAAATACAAATGACATATCAGGAAAACAGTAAATTGCAGATGGCTAGAAATGGGGTAAACTATAATCCTAAACCTATCCTGTTCTTGCACGCTTTCCTGAAACCTGCTATGAGCCTCGAAGAGGCAGTAATGCACTCAACACTCCCATACAACCATGCAGATGAAGCTCTGCTGTGCAAGCGCTGCGCTGGGCCAGGGAGCAGCTCGAATAGTTTAACAAACCATGCGGAGTGGTGGCATGGCACCCCACGCTGGTTTGCCTCAAGGACGATAACCAAGCAGATTACAACCTCTAAACTCTCTGAACTGACGCTATCTTGAGTCATCTCAGGCCACTTACATCAAGCTATCTGATTAACAGTAACAGTCAAATTAACAGCAGCTATGTGCAATAATCTGACTAAATGGACATGCAAAAAAGAGAGGTATTAATATGATCTCTCCACCACACAGATGCTCTGGGCAGCATGTATGTGGTCTCATAAAGACTCGGGTTTCCTTTGCCATGAGGAAACTCATCATAGCATTGGAGCATCCCATTGCCATAACTACATGAAGACAGTATGTGAGAAAGTGTGACTTTACAGCAGTCAGAGACTTAATGACATGCCGAAATACTGAGCAAACAGTCTAAGCAGCGAGTCACAGGGCTTCTATTTAAAAGCCAGGAACTGATAGGAGCACGTAATACTAATATCAAATTCTGGTTTGGATCAAGTTCTACGTGTGTCAGTAAACAATCTGATCGGATTACTAAGACCAGTTTTCATTTTCTGGAACAGAAACTTCAAATTAGTCACACTACTTCAGAAAGGAAAAGACAAACTGTTTTTTTCCCTCATTAGCACTCGCTAGGACTCTGCAGGCCCTGAACCAAATCAGAGCAGAAGCCATTTCTTCACCACCTGCTATACCCTGTTCCTTCACCAGCCATCCTATGTCCTACAAATGCCAGAACAAGAAGCATCCATTTCTCCATTGCTGGATTCCCAAAGTCCAACTTATCTGTAAATCAAGGAGCCATTTCCTGGAAGATGCCCCTTTCTGGAGCTAAGTACTTTTAGATTAAATTAGAAAGCAGTCAGAGGGGAATGTGCTCCTCTCCCAGAGCAAAGTTCCTCAAAGAGGAGCAGCATCTCTGATTTTGGCAGACCTTCCTGCCTCCATCCCAACAAGCCTTTTCATGGACCACCTGCCAGGGTGGTAGATAACATAGAATCATAGAATCATAGAATGCTTAGGGTTGGAAGGGACCTCTAGAGATCA